GTTTATTATTAGTTTCCTGCTTCCCATTTCTTCCACTCACTGCATGCCAAATTCAGACATACCAATCCATGGCCAAAGGAGAGGACTAAGGAGGTTACAAAAGTGGCTGAAATACGTCAACAGCAGTTTTACTGACTGAGAACCACAGTCTAAAATCTTCACACATTTACACAATTCTACCCACAATTACATTTAAATTGAAAAATATGTTTTAAATATAATGTACTTAAAACATTTTATTTATTGATTCAGTTTCATTCTAAACTAGTTCTAAACTATGCAGATTATGGTAGATTTTGTAGTGTTTTAACTATGAACGCTTTCCCCAGGTACCTCATGAGTCCCTTAGAAGCTAAAGAGATGATTCAAGTCAAAACTCTGGAGTGGATTCATCTCAAACCTACTCTAAGTAGACAGAACTGACCTTAATAGTTGCATCTGGACTCTTGGAGATATTTTTTCTAATCTTTCAGTATTTTGTCTTCCAGTATCTTGAAAAACTGTCACAAAAAACCCACAAACCCCTGAGCATTCCCCAAATACCATGCATATAACAAATCTTAACATTCTGATTGGGCTTTGGCTCAGATCTTAAAAAAGTCTTTCAGAACAGGTAAACAACACAGCAAGGAAAACTGTACAAACATCTTGATCACAGCTGCTGTATAAGTTACTCTGCAACACAGGAAGGATTCCCCACAACTAAATATCAGGGAATACATTCCATACTTATGACATATGATTTTGAAGCCTATTTCATTCCCTGAACATAAAAAGAGATTAGAAACATTCATGAATATATGAGAACCAAGAATGAAGGAGAAAATGTAGTGAATTTTGTAGTGGATGGTCTTCTCTTTCCCTCAAAATGATGTGCATCCATAAATGAAATTTCATATTGCTTTTCACTTATGGTCATCATATAAAAAAGAGGACCAAAAAAAGCAAGAAAAAAGCATTTCCTGTGATAAAATGTGACACATATATTCCCTGTAATTTGATTGATCATACTAATTTCAATCATTTTATAAATAACTTCTGTGGTTATTCTTACTTTTCATATATTAAAGTGTGCACCATGAAATGAAGTTCAGGTTTGCAAAATGAAATTCACTCAAAGATTGAATACATTTATCTTTAAAAGCCATTTCCAGCACTTTTATATTACAGTAGTCTTTAAGTCATCATATGCTACCTTGTACTGGGACCTCTGACTAGTTTACTGGTCTACATTTCAAATAGCCAAGAAAAATATTGTAGAGATCATTGCCCTTATATTTGAAAAAGTAAAATGAAAATTCTCAGATTCGGAAATGCCAGTTGGCATAAGGTCAAAGACATTATTAATATGATACTGTCAGTAAAATGAGATGCCTGTGGGAAAAAAAAAAACCAACATGGAAAAAAGGGTAAGATTCCTTTAGGAAGGAATTTGGCAGTTTTATTTGCTCCTTGCATTGGAGCAAAATCCCAGGTTTATTTAGTTAAAAAAGCTGAAAAATTATAAAAGAAAAAAAGTGTTGTGAACTAAATTTGAGATGCAGATTTACATGTTTCAAATTTTTTTTTAGCTTTGTGACAGCATCTGGACACAAATGGCACACCCATATTCAGTGGAACTTCCAAAATGCACCTGATGTTATTATTAACTTTCTCCTCTGAATTCTAAAGAGTTGATAGAGGTAAGCCTGTGTTTATTATTAGTTTCCTGCTTCCCATTTCTTCCACTCACTGCATGCCAAATTCAGACATACCAATCCATGGCCAAAGGAGAGGACTAAGGAGGTTACAAAAGTGGCTGTAATACGTCAACAGCAGTTTTACTGACTGAGAACCACAGTCTAAAATCTTCACACATTTACACAATTCTACCCACAATTACATTTAAATTGAAAAATATGTTTTAAATATAATGTACTTAAAACATTTTATTTATTGATTCAGTTTCATTCTAAACTAGTTCTAAACTATGCAGATTATGGTAGATTTTGTAGTGTTTTAACTATGAACGCTTTCCCCAGGTACCTCATGAGTCCCTTAGAAGCTGAAGAGATAATTCAAGTCAAAACTCTGGAGTGTTCATTGCAAACCTACTCTAAGCAGATAGAACTGACCTTAATAGTTGCATCTGGACTCTTGGAGATATTTTTTCTAATCTTTCAGTATTTTGTCTTCCAGTATCTTGAAAAACTGTCACAAAAAACCCACAAACCCCTGAGCATTCCCCAAATACCATGCATATAACAAATCTTAACATTCTGATTGGGCTTTGGCTCAGATCTTAAAAAAGTCTTTCAGAACAGGTAAACAACACAGCAAGGAAAACTGTACAAACATCTTGATCACAGCTGCTGTATAAGTTACTCTGCAACACAGGAAGGATTCCCCACAACTAAATATCAGGGAATACATTCCATACTTATGACATATGATTTTGAAGCCTATTTCATTCCCTGAACATAAAAAGAGATTAGAAACATTCATGAATATATGAGAACCAAGAATGAAGGAGAAAATGTAGTGAATTTTGTAGTGGATGGTCTTCTCTTTCCCTCAAAATGATGTGCATCCATAAATGAAATTTCATATTGCTTTTCACTTATGGTCATCATATAAAAAAGAGGACCAAAAAAAGCAAGAAAAAAGCATTTCCTGTGATAAAATGTGACACATATATTCCCTGTAATTTGATTGATCATACTAATTTCAATCATTTTATAAATAACTTCTGTGGTTATTCTTACTTTTCATATATTAAAGTGTGCACCATGAAATGAAGTTCAGGTTTGCAAAATGAAATTCACTCAAAGATTGAATACATTTATCTTTAAAAGCCATTTCCAGCACTTTTATATTACAGTAGTCTTTAAGTCATCATATGCTACCTTGTACTGGGACCTCTGACTAGTTTACTGGTCTACATTTCAAATAGCCAAAAAACTTTGGGGTATTAATGAATTTTCACTTGCCTGCTTTCCTTTAAGTTTTTTTTTCCTTCCTTCTTTTTGTGCTAGCAGTTATTTTCAGGTTTTTGGTGTACTTATTACTTAGTTTTTGGTCTTGTTTGAATTCTTTTTCAGTCCACATTTCAGCATTTAGTTATTCCTATAAGCTTTCAGGACTTTCTGGAGATACAGCTTCAGCCAGTTACTTTCTGAAAGGAATCCTGTTGATTAAAAAAGGCCTCCAGCTTCTGTTTTTATCTAATGGCTGAGTAAGAAAGAATGTATTATAGGTCAACAGGACTTAGCAGAGAACAGATATTTATTTGGGCAATTAAAGAACCAGCTAAGTTGTGGAGAGTGCGCTGGGAATGTCTCTGGGTAGGATGCAATTGTACAATATTGCAAGGTTTAGTTCTCAACATGTGACATATAAATTACCTGGAGTATCAAAAGAACTGGAGCAGTAAAGCATGCCCTTATTGAGGTTTAGGCTGCAGTGAGCACCTGGTACTTCTTCCTAGGGTGGTCTCACAGTGGGAGGTGGGCTTTGGCTTTGGGCCAAAGGAGCAGTAGGAGGATGCGTGTTACTCTGGTTCCAAGAATGGCAGGCAAGTGATGGGCAGTGTTTACACAGTGCCCTTAGATCAGCATGAAACAAATAAAGGGGAGCAAGAGGCTATTTGTGGATGAGTGGCGGATGGAGACCTTCTGGGTGGAGAAGGCTATCAGCTTATGTCTCTGAGCAGCAGGAGAAAGGCACTTTTCTTGGCCCTCAGACCTGAACTTGTGGTATTGATGCACTGACTTAAAGGTGAAGGAGAATAGGCTCTGTTAAACAAGAGCATAGAGGAAGAGGGCCAGAAGTGAGCATTCACTCTGGAGTGGTAGGGGACAGTGGCTGATGGGGTGGGGAGCTGGCAGTGTCCATCTCTGTACTAGCCTACTGGCACAGGAGGAGAGAGACCCTGGTGAATTATTCCTTGGAAGTAAAGGGGACTTCCACCTTTCCAGAAGTGTTCTACTGCCTCTGATAGCTAAGGTCTGTACTCTTTTTATTTTATTCTAACACATTAATCACACTCAGCATTCATAAATCACTGTAATTTATTTAAAGGAGTCATACACAAAAAAGAATCTCTTTCTCAAGGACTAGGGATTTGCAGGCTAGAAAGAAGTAGAAGCTATGAGGTTTTCCATGGAAAGAAAAATTATTCTCTATTCCTTAAAATAAAGAAATATAGCTGATTTAAGGCCAAATTATTCTTGAAGATCTCAAGCCTTAAAATAATACCTAATGACTTTTATAAAGTACATCTGCTGCTGATACTAGGGTAGATCTTTAAAAAATGTTCAGTGTTAACAGACAAGTCTTTCTGTTTAAGTTCATGTATATGGGCGTACTCTTTATAACTCTCTACGACAGCTCTTTATAAAAACAAACAAAAAAAAAATCAGCATTTTGGTTAGCCTTGCTTGAACAGCTATACTTTCTATGCTTCCTCTCAGAAATTATTCAAATGATTCCTACTTGTGCACATGGATTAAAGTTGTAGCATGTGCTATAATCTCATGTGTGCCTCTCATGTCATGAGAGAAGTTTTATAATTTTGGATCTACCTAGTGTTGATATTCATCTGTTCCTAATTCAAAAACATGAGACTGTTCTGGTGATAACAAATAGCAACAATCACTGACTACATTATTAACCTATTAAATAGATTATAACCTGTCTAATAAAATGATCTTGATGTATATCTGTCCTGAAGCTGAGCTACATAATGTTGACTTAACATATAGTTTGCAGCACACAGCAGCCTGAGCCCTGGTGTTCCTAAAAAATTAAACTAAAATAAAGTTTCAGAAATAAAAGTGCAAGAAATTGCACAACAGAGCACGCCAGAAAAAATTTGGAAACACTCACAACAGGTGGGCAGGCTGTTCTTCTAAAGTTACTTATTTGATAAGTCTGCTGTGAAGATGGAATTTATTTTTCCAGTAACTCCCATCCCATCCCCTCTCACACATGAAAAAAACCCAAAACACATTTTTCCTCAATTAGAACAAAAGGTTAAATTATTTCAAGTGCATGCAATGATGGAAAATATTAAAAAAAATACCCCAAAATAATGTCTGTCTTATTCTTCAGCCTGCTTGAGTATCCAGATGACTGCTCCCTGTTCTATGGCTACCAGTTCTGTGTAGAAGAAATGGAAAGTTAGCAGTAAGTTGCCAAGTGCATGCCATGACATTGATTAATATGCAAGAACATCCCTGTCATTGGGTCTCTGGAGTCATTAGCTCTTACTAAGACTTGTGTATTGATATATCTATATCTGTATCTTTCTATTTATCTTACAATATAAACAAATAAACACTTGACTTTTTTTTTAATGGTAGTTTTTTTTTCATGTGATGTAGGGTTTTTCAGTGGCAAAGACAATACTGAAAATATTTTATAATTTTAGTTTTGTAGTAATACAGATACATCTAGTGCTCCTGTGATGACATCCACTGCCAAGCATGAATGTAGGTGCTGTATATGTGGAGTGGTGATACAAAAAATTCTGACATCTACTTGTGTACTCACTTAAAATGTATTCCTTTAAAGTTCTTGTATTCAAAGAGACTACAACATAAACAGAGCATGCTAAGCCCAGCTAGGTTCTGGATATGATTTAGTTTACAGTGAATGACTGCCAAAGCAGACTGTATGGCCCATCCCAAATCCAACCTGCCCTAATTCCCTTTATGACTTTATTATTTGTGCTGTTTTACTGCTTAGAGAGACCTAAACAGGAAGACTCTGGGCGTTCTCTGTTCAAGAAGTGGGTGGGATGAAGTTCTTTAGAGAAAACAAAATATGATCCACCTACAGATCATGTTAGGCCAGCTCCCCAATTTCCTCTAAGTAGAACAGAGGCCTTTGTTGCCTTAGTTACTGAAACTATCTACTGGTTAACAGCAGGATCCCAGTCTCCATACAGAACATGCACCATTTTTGGTGGCAGTGTAGGATGGAAAATACTAACTTTTCTGTTTGTTTATTTTATTGTAAAGAGTAGAAAAGTAGATTATTTAAGTCTTTGCAGAAAAAGTAATAAAAAAATGCACTCTCACAAAAATATTCTGCAAGATGACTGATTGGAGGGAGCATTGTGTGTGAGAGAATTAGTACCTCCAATGAAGCAACATTCCTTTATTTTCCATTACTTTCTTAATAACAGAAAGAAGGAGCACTGAAAACTGCGTGCTAAGTTTCAGTGCTCAAGTAGCTACATTGGTAGACCCAGACCACTGAAGCTTGTGAAACACTCATAAATGCTCCAGGTAAGATTTCAAACTGTTCCCCTCACCAGAAATGCAGATATTCTAGTGCTATCTCCCATTTCTTCTTGGACACAGAAGCTGGAAAACACAACCCATTATTTTCCCCTGTGAAGCATGATCAAGTCCAGCTTCCATCCTTCCTATTTGAAAGCAAGAGCCTCAGTACAGCCATATTGAGGTGACAATTTACAATGACATGGAGGTCCAAAATATTTTTAAAGAAAGTAGAAAGTCCTAAAAACTTGATGGATTCTCTTCTTTCCCAGAGTGGTGTGATACGATATAGTGGTTTCATGGTATTTAAAATGAATCTCACCTTGTGTAGGCATAGGCTCCCTTGCCTTGCTAATCATTCTTACCCCAGAATGGTCCCCAGTTCACTGATAACGATTTTTGTGGGATTAAGTGTAGGCCATTTTAACTCAGAAAGCTGCTGATACAGCAAGATGAATACCAGCAGTAGACTAAGGAAGGGCTCCTGGTGAGATGGTATGGCTTAGGTGAGGGTGTTAAAGGAACTTGAATGTGAGAGTGACATCACAGAAATACTGAGGCTAATCTAAATGAACAAGCAAATATTTTCTGTCATTGCCTGCCATGAGGATCTCGTCAGAATGCTGTTGATTGGTATGATTTTGAGTAAAGTTGAAATTTTTATTCAGATTAACTCAGATTTTAGAAGCTAACAACTACAGTTTTATAAGAATTTCAGATTATCATAAATCACCAATGAAGCTGAGAAGACTAGGATGCAATTTTAAAGCATTTAAATAAATTAAATAATTTTTTTACTTACAGAATTAGTATATGTATAGTATATATTATATTTATATATATTTATATTATAGTATAAACTATACATATTAGGAGAGTGTCCAAGTCTATTTCATCATCAGTGCTGTTTTACAGTACTTCTGCTTTGTTCAGGTAAAAATAGAATATTTTATTGGTATTTCCAGTAATTTCCTGACAGACATTCTCTAATGTTACATAATTGTAACATTATTCAAACTGAAAAATATTGTTTAAGTTGACCTACCATGCTGTTGCTTAAATGGCAACTTATTTAACACGAACATCATGAATGTGTAGTATTTCAATTTTTTTAATGTCAATTTCTTTGCATGGCACTTTTCCTAAACAAAAACTTCAGCTGAAATCGCCTGGCATAGTTCCTTTCCAAAACAAAAGGCTGATGCAAAGTAAAAGAAGTTTTTTTAAATAACTGTCAGAATTTAAATTGTGGCAAAATCTTTTACATTAGGATTTGCAATCCATTCCTTCTGCAAAGACTGTTAGTGGAACTGCACATTTGAGATGAAGGGATTGTTGAGACATTGTGTTATTTTATTTGTGGCTAATCTATTTCATCAGAAATCTTACTATGTATACTAACACCAAATATCAAGCATGATTGACAAAGATTTGACATGCTCCTGAGCTTCAGAGTGAAGGTCTTAAATGCACAAAGCCTGCCCTTACTCACATTTCTAGAAGTAATCTACAAGGATCTAGCATATATCTCTTTTCACCATTTCTTTTTTCCCAGTTTTCATTCCTTCAAAATTGAAAGCATAATAGATGGCTTCCAGAGGCTTCCTTCAATGTAGTGATGTTAATTGAAGTGATGGAGCCATGGTAAGACCTATAAAAAAAATAAAAAATGAATGGTAAAAATGCTGGACTGACCCATACAGCTGAACAGGAGTCAGCGAGCACACCTTGGCTTGTTTCTCAAAACCCTTAACATTTTATTTTTATGGAAGTCCAAACCTGAGCAAAACTTTCTATTTTTGTGTGAAAATCTATCTAAAGTTGAGAAAGGATGCCTTGAGCTCAGTGGATTTTTGAGGTTCTGATATTTTTTGAGGGTGAGAAGGGAGCTGGGGTGCGCGAGAGCTTTCTCCCAGCTTCCAGAAGTGGTCCAGGCGGTGAAGACACATACGAAAAACCAGCGCCCAAACCCAAGCAAACCTGCAAAACACCAGGGCAGGGTGCAGGGGAACCAGCAACTGGAAGCTTTTCCCAGGGCAGCCCTTAAGGCCTCGGGCCCACGGTGTGGCGAGGCGGGGCCGCGGCGGGGCGGTGCGGGGGGCGGGCGGTGCGCGCCATCCCGGCGAGCGGAGCGGCCGGGCCATGGGCGCTG